TTACAATACTCATAATTAAACTTGTTAATATTTCATAAACAATGGTTCTCTACATTTATTCAATTTTGCAAGAAATTAAACAGTCTTGAGATCAGAAGTTTTACAGATTATTATGACTTTTTGAAACTATATATTATGTTTATACCTTCATTTCTTACCTAATTTTATAAAATGATAGTATACCACTGCAAGTATGGCAAACACTTAGTTTTACTTCCCTTACTTTAAGCTATTATTATAGATGGTGCAAGCTAACATTTACCTATAAAGTATATATATATATATATAACATCAATATTTTAATGAGTTTCATCATTAGTTTGCCATATTTATCATTGTCATTACTTCCTTTTTTTTCTTGTCTTGTTATAGTAAGCTTTCTATAATCTAATTATTGCTTGCATATTTTGCTACCACTTGATTTTACACACTTAGTGGCTTTGTTTGAGTTACGTGAGTGACAATCAAATCCTACTATTTAATTATATATATAGAGAGAGTTTGTGATAGGTGCTATGCACTAGCAGTCTTCTCTCTAATCAGTAAAATTGGAATGGCTAGCACAGATATTCATTGTGTAGCTTTGTGTGAATTTCTGAGAACAAACTTCCAGCTGCCAACATCATATATATTTGAATAATGACTGTGGTTGAAGTTGAGTTAATTATGATACCATCTCATTGCAAGTTTAGTAATTTTTTTTATTACATTTAATTTGGTTATTCTAATTGAGTGACAATAATCATACTATTTATTTTACAGTTTTCATTTTGCTCCTTTAATTTTATTATTTTTTCATTTTTGAAAACATTACCCTTTTGCTGTTCTATCAGTATCATCCTGCTTTGTAGTTAGAGTGTAACATTTAATCATTATAAGTTTATACTATATTTATTACTGAGTTTAAGTTTTAATCTCTATAGGTTGCTTGCTTTGATCAGTAGTTAATATTAATTGCAGTGTTGTTGTTCTGGACGAACATATGCATTAAGGTCACATTTTTGAAATGTTTTAATCCAAGGTGTGATTAACCTTTCCATACTTTTTGAAGTTGATCATTCATATTTATGATGCATAATACACTCCAGTGGTGAACGTCTTACCCTTCAAACAGTATTCAACCAGCAACTCACTGAGTTCTTATCACTATATTGAATCTTAATTGTCTGTTCAATCTCTCCCTAATGATCTTGGATGTTGTGGCAGTTGTATGTTTATTCTTGGATGCAGCTTAACTTAAGCAACCCATACTGAACACCTGCTTCTAATTGTTTGTGCATCATTAACCATACCTATCACCATGCCATTAGAAATCTGAATAAATGACTGTCCATAGCTGCATATTAGTCCCTGTATAATTCCAGTTCTTAAATAACTATTCAAGCAAGCACAATCTGATTTATGAACAGAAAACCTGTTTAATGTGTTGGTTCTATCACTACAGCAGATGATAATAATTCATTTGATTCACTTGACTTCTTACAACTTATATATTGTAAGTGCTTCCTGAACATATACTCATGCAGGCTACTTTTTTGAGGCTCAGTTTAGTTGGCACTGATTGCTTTTCCACATAACTTTAGCTCTCCTATTGCAAAAGCAAAGCTGTCTGATAATTTTTGCAGTAGATCTATCCCTAAGAAAGAAGTGCCTGAACCAAGATTGAAGACTACCTACCTTTGTCTTCAAATGATAGAACTAGAAATAGGAGAGATGTGGCTCTCCACTTATGTTTAAGATCTTGTGTTTTGCTACAACAAAGTTTGCATCAACTGCCAAACTGACCTGCTGCACTGCAAGGTTGAAGGCTCTTATATAAATCAGGAACATGACTTCATTTCCATATACCTGGAACAGCACATAACAAGTCCACTTAACCCTTTGTGAACTGGCTGATTGCCACACCTTTAGATACAAGTTGACTAGTACACTCATCAAGTCATTGGCCAATCCTGACCTGGGTTAAATCTAGCTTTCATAGTGTTACATGTAACTTCACATTTCTCCAGTTTTGCCTGGGAACAAAATACTGGCAATTTTGTTTGAAATGCTCTTCCTGTCTACATCTAAATCACACAGTTCATTCGTTCTCTCCAGAGCATCAGCTGTGGATAAGTGTCTGCTGCTAATATGGCATCATCTTGAGAGTTCATAGGTAGTCTTCCACTCACTGTTACCATGCAAGACTATATTTTCCACATAGGTGGTGTGGATCATTGCAAAAGAAGTCAAGCTCTCTTTGAGTTCTGAACTTAGTACAATAGATAGCTCAGTATTTTACCAGGTCAAAGAGTTGGTGTAACTTGGTTAGGATTGTATTTTAGTAACAAAGTTGTTCATTATCCAAATGCTTCTATTTTGTCTGTGTTCTTTTTTTCATCAAAAACCACAGTTTCATGTTTTTCAAAGATCTTTTATGCAAGATACATTTAAGTTTGATGAATGAAGTTTCAATTTTCTATCCTTTTTTTGGCTGTTTTCCACATATTGAAGTATGTATTGTATTTTCAGCACAGCTTATATCAGGGCTACATCCTTTCTATTTGTTATTGCTCCATAGACCTATTCATAACATTCAACACCTTTTTTCGTTAATACAAGTATAACTTCTATATGTGTATGGCAAGGTGAGAGTTTCGCATCTTTCACAGCTTAACCATGACAGAGTTTCTACTGGTATTGCAGACACTGCTTTATGATTACAGTTCACCTGAAGTTAGTTTTGCTTGTACATTATGTATTAAAGCACACCTTTGCAACGTATTACTGTGATAATGGCATCTACAACTTGGTGTTTTTTGGTATTGATGATAAATAAAATGTTCAGGATTATGTACAGTCATTGAACTATATTTCTATCTTGTTTATTGGTGTGCCCATAATGACATCCATAGTGAATACTAAATATAATGAAACCTTTAGGCCAGAAACAAAGAAGAAAAAAATTCAAATAGTAAACTTTCTGATAACTGCACAATAAAAGAGGAAAATATTTGTTTACTAAATAAATTGTTTTACTTTGACAATTTGGTAAATACTTTGAAACTAAAAAAATGAAAAAAGTTTATTATATCTCTTGAATGTATGTATTGTTACGTCTCCGTTTGTTAATTAACTTTACGTAACTTCGTTCCGACGAAACTTTAGCGACACAAGTCTTTAC